CAGGACGGGAAATCCTAGGAAAATAATTGGCACGTGAAGACGTGCAAATCAGTGTATTATGAACTGTACCTGGTCTCTGCACCTTCTCTGTACCGTCCTTGTCCACGTCACACTGCAGCGTGATTACTTGCTGTTCTGTGAATGGTTCCGGGCGCGTTGGAACTAGGTTTAATTCATTGAGCCTAGTTTGGGGCCTGGCCCACAGTTCGCACTAAGTGCCAGGGTGCTGAACTGAAACCTAGTTGCAGGCCTGCAGGGGGCTGTCGAAGGGCAGGGCAGGTGGACCTGGCGGGTGCCTCAGCACTCGCCGTAGGATACAGGACCAGTCCATTTAGATGAATTCTCAGAAGCCATCCAGCCCAAATTCCAGGCCATGGGGTTAAGTGAGCAGCCCAGGTCTCATAGACATCCAGCGATAGGGCAGACCTTGGGCTCTGAGCTCCTGAATTCCATTTCCTGTCTTTGCTTGCTCTTATATATTTTTTTATTATCTTTAAAAAGATTTAGTGAAGTGAAACAAAAACAATGAAACAGAATAGAGTCCAGAAATACACCCGTGCAGGTGTGGTCAGTTACATATGACACAGGAGCCAAAGATGCACAGTGGGGAAAGGACAGTCTCTTCAACAAGTGGTGTTGAGAACATTGCCCCCCCCCCCCCAGCCTTACACCATATACAAAAATCAACTCAGAAATTTAGATGTCCAATATTCCTGAAGGAACATAGTAACATATATGTAAGTTTAAGCATTATGATATTATGAATACCCTTGAACCCTCTATTTCTTATGCAAGGTCTAGATGAATATTAACTTTCTTCTCGTAGTACCTTTTTCCCTTAAAACTATTCTTCCCACTGTTCTGAATTTTGTATATCTTGTTCCCATGTCTTGGCTAATAAGAAAAAAAGCTTTGCTATAGTGGTTTAAAATACACACAAACACACGCACACGTGTTTAATCGTTCAGTATTGCTTGTTTTCGAGCTTTATGAACGTGGCGGCATCCTGGGTAGTCCCCTCAGACTCGCTTCCCCGTCCCCGCCGTCGTCCTGTTTCTGGGGTCTCTCGCGTTGTTGCATGTAGCTGTAGGTCATTCATATTTTCCTCATCTCTTATGCTATTTCCCACTTAGACCTCTCAGAATTTGGGATGACTCCCAAGTGAAGACTCCAGTTAATTCTAATTTTAACCTTTTACAAGCTGTCGTTAAATTTTCCCATGTTGCATGGCTTATGGGAAGCTTTTGGTCATTTACTAATTTAATGAGAATTAGATAGCCTTAGTCTTAGGAATTCGTAGTGAAATATTTTCAATTAAGATTAATGGAGCTAGACCATTTTACAATAGTATTTTAGTGCTTTCAGCTACATACAGTCAGAGAACCGTCTGGAAGGAAGCCTATATGCTTGCCGCTTGTACCCTTGGGAGGTGAGGTTGCGATCAGCTTATTGAGATAGAGGGCGCCCAGGCACTATGGAAGGGTTAAAACAATGTCTTTTCATTTTGACTTTCTTTGGTCAAGTTGACTTCTTTTCCTAGGTAATACACCGTTCAACTTCTAGTTACTCTCTTTCGAATCCCAGTATGTTCTGGATTAAAATTTCAGTGTAGCTAGGCTTATTTATATCTAAATTTGTATTTTGGTTCTCAGGAAGATTGTTAATATCCAGGTTGAGAATATTTCCACCAAAGACCAGAAGTTTTTAGGGATAATGAGTGGTCTGTGAATTAGAATTGTATATGCAGTTTCCTGGGACCTTAGTTTTGATTAGAGTTTGGGAGTCTGTAGTCCCCAAAACTGATTGTTTTAAACAGGGTTTCTCAGACTTGACTCTGGTGACATTTTGGCCAGGTCGCTGGGGTCTGTCCTGTATACGGTAGGGTGTTTAGAAGCATCCCTGGTCCCTACCAGGTAGATGCCAGTAGCTTTCCCTCCCTCACTGGTGACAACCAAAACTTCTCCAGTCATTTTTAGGTGTTTCCTAGGGGCCTGTGGGGAGGGCAAAATCAACCCCAGTGGAGAAGCACTAGCTCACACCTTTTTTTTTTTTTTTTTTTTTAATATACTCTATTTTTTAGAGCAGTTTTAGGTTCACAGCAAAATTGAGCAGAAGGTACAGAGGCCGCCCACATAATCCCTGCCCCCACACACGCGTGGCCTCCACCACTATCAGCATCTCTTACCAGAGTTACAGTTGATGAATTTACACTGATGCATCTTAATTGTTCAAAATCCATAGTTTAAGGGTCACTCTTGGTGGTGTAAATTCTATGGGTTTGGACAAATTTATGACACATACCTGCCATTATGGGATCATACAAAGTACTTTCACTGACCTGAAAATTCTCTGCTCTGCTTAGTCATCCCTCCCTCTCCTCCACCCTATGGCAACCACTGATCTTTTTACTGTTTCCATAGTTTTGCCTTTTCCAGAATGTTGTATTGTTGGACTCTAACCTTTTCAAATCGGCTTCTTTCACTTAGCAGCATACACTTAAGGTTGTTCCATGACTTTCCCTGGCTTGATGGCGCATCTGTTTTTCGCACTGCATAATGTGCTGTTGTCCGGATGTACCACAGTTTGTTTATCCACTCACCTACCGAAGGGCATCCTAATTGCGTCCAGGTTTTGGCAGTTATGAATAAAGCTGCCATAAATATTTGCGTACAGGTTTTTGTGTGGACATAAGTTTTCAGTTCTTTTGAGTAAATACCAAGGGGTGTGATTGTTGGATTATAAAGTAAGAGTATGTTTCATTTTGTAAGAAAACACCAACCAATCTTTGAAAGTGGCTGCACCATTTTGCATTCCCACCAGCATTGAGTCAGAGCCCCAGTCGTTCCGCATGTCCTTGTCAGCATTTGGTATTGTCAGTTCTGGATTTTGGCCATTCTAGTAAGTGTGTGGTGTATCTCACTGTTGTTTTATTTTACATTTCTATGGTGACATACGATGTTGAGCAGTATTTCATATGCTTATTTGCCATCTGTATATCTTCTTTGGTGAGGTGTTTTTTAAGGTCCTTGGCCATGAGTTTACATCTTTAAACTAGTTCGACTTGAATCATTTAGGGTTTTCTCTTGTACAGCCGAGGGGGCATATAACTATTTATGGACACCTAAATTGGAGCTAAGTGTTCCAGTATAAACACTTAGCTCCAATTTAGAGCAACAGGAAAGACTTTAGGGTTGGGCAGAATGTTATAAAATATTTATATTTTAAAATATTTTCAGAATGCTTAAAACATGTATTTACATGCATTCAGAAGATACTCACATACTGCTATGTATTAAACAGTTCACAGGTATTAACAAAATCATTGCAACAACCCTATGAAGTAGATATTTTCTATTTTATAGATACATAGAGACTCATAGAGGCTAAGAACTTATGCCCAAGGTCATAAGTTAATGAATGGCAGAACTAGGAATTGAATATCAGTCTCTCTAGTGTCAGATGAGCTAATTTGTGTTCTCGACCCTAGAAGTAGTGTTAAAATGTCTTCTCGTGCCAGCGGGCCACACCCACGTCACTGTGGCCTTGGCTGGCATAGTAGGCATGGCATAAGCAGGGAAGTCTTGGTTGCTAGAATGTTTCACTAAGCAAAACAAGTGCTACAGGGTTTCTGGGTGTGTGTGTGTCTGTGTGTGTTTCTTTGCAACATAGCCAGTTGTGTGTCCCAGAATGTCACTGATAACCATCATGAGTAAGAGACAGGTTGTTTTTTCTTTTTTCCTTTTTGAAAAACAGCCTGCTGTACATGTCATCTCAGTTACCTGAAAATGAAGTTCTGCTGATTATCTTACTGTGTTATGTCTCTAGTGACTATAAAGTGGGCCTTTGTCCCACATCCTGCTTAAAGTTCATATACCTGGAGTGTAGATGGTCATATTCAAAGGTTATGTTTCATAATAGCCAAATCCTGGCATTTCCAGGATTATTTTCTATATTTTATGAAAATTCTTTAGCTTATTGTTTAGGGCTTTTAAAAATCCTGAGATTGTTCTGAGCAGAGCAGACTCAAGAGATAAGATGAGATAGTGCTTCTGATTGGTTGTGTTGGGGACTCCATCTGCCTGATGTGCTCTTAATCTGCACCGTTTTACCTGGCCCACCTTTCTCACCTTCCTTCTCGTTGCTCCTGCCATCTGTGTAATGGCCCACTCTACACTGAACTTCCCACCCCTCCCCCAGTTCATGTCTTCTTCTCCCCATGATTTATCACATATTATGGTGACAGGTACCTGGTGTCCTCAGGAAATATTCGCAGTGTGAATATTAAATGAGGAGACTGTTGTGAAGCACACAGTGCATAGCTTAAAGAAGGTGCCTAGTGAATGAGGGTTTATCTGTATTTTCCCAGGCCTCCTCGGCAGCAGCGACCCCAGAGTATTGCCTTGTAGTCCACTCTGCCAGCTCAAGTGAGCTCTTGGCTATAAGTGATTGAGGTCTTGGTCTATTTCGCAAGGGCGTGGCACCTGAGAAAAGGTACCAAGCTTTAGGTGAATGAATGAAACACTTAACTTTTGCATGTATCTTGCCACTTGTTCTTTGCGTGGCTTTGTCCTTGGCTTGGAGTTCATCAAGGAACCTGGCCTGGTGGTGTTACCTGTTTAAATCTAAGTTACAGCAAAGGATAAAGACTCATCTGCTCTTTGAGCATGCTCATTGCAGAACCAGGTGAGAGTTACTACATCTGCCTTTCCCACGATCTGCCAAGTTGGAGAAAGAAAGGCAGTGAAGCTTTGAGGTGTGCATGGAACAGGGCCACTTTCTTAACTGTCTGGCCTGCTCCCGCTTCAAGTATCTCTCGGATACCTCGACTTGACACAGACACTGCGGTCAGAGAGAGACTAGCAGTCAGAGGGCCCACTGCCGGCCTGTTTGGTCTTCGAATACCCTGGGCAGGCTGAGACTGCAAGAATGCTTGCGAGAAGGGGGTTTTGAAGGTTTCTGCTGGCAAAATGACTTAGGAATTTCTGTTTCTTCTTTCACAGAGTGATCAGCAGCTGGACTGTGCCTTGGACTTAATGAGGCGCCTGCCGCCACAGCAAATCGAGAAAAACCTCAGCGACCTGATCGACCTGGTACGTGCCTCGTTTGTGTGGTTTCATCGGGGCTGTGGCTCCTGATTGGTTGCTTTTGTGTACCTTTTTCCATGCAGAATTCAAAATGCACGAGAAACCTTCTCTCCCGCCAGACATCCCTGGGTTACGAGATTCCTCCAGACAGAGAGATGAGTTTCATATAGTCTTAATTTCAGCGCCCCTATGTTAATAAGGCCCAAGCAAGGTAGGACATCTAAAGTTGATTGTAACCTGTCCCTTTCCCCGACTGCCTTGTTCTCAGTTTCTAGAAAGCTCACCTTTGGGCGTGATGAAGAGGCCCCACGCGTCCAGCAGGCATTCGACAGTGTATGCTGCTCAGTTTTGTTAGTCTCTGCCGCTGTGGAGGTTTCTCTGACCAAAGCCGTGTGAAAATCTACCCTGTAAAATGCTTCAGAGGCTTCACGTCTAGTTCGGAACGGCATAAAACATGAAAGTCAGCTTTCGAAGACCTCATCACATCTATTTTTCAAATATGTCATTTTTTTTAGATTCCAAATGATTTTTCTAAAAGTCTCAAAATGATGCCTCAGAATAAGTGGCACCATAACATTATTTGAAAATGCTCACAGTATTTAAAAACATCTAGAAAGCTGTGAAAAATAATGAAAAGAAGTAAACTAAAATAAAATCAGGCCCCAAGAGGCCAAGCGAGTCCCTGCATCATTTGGCTAGAGAGTTCTGGCTCTGGAACCTGGACTCTGAGTCTGGTCCTCTCTTCTTTTCCTGTGTCCCATATCTTTTTGGGTATAATTATCAGTTGCCAACCTTGGCTCATCTATGAGGTATCTTTTAAAATAGTAGTTTGGAAACTTGTTCGATGTGCTGTAGTGGTATATTTAATTTTATTGCGTGATTTCAGAACGATTTACTAGTAAAAAAAATTATTGCAGGAGACGCCTGTCATTCACAGATAAAACTCTTCACAGCAGCCTATAAGGTCCAAAGTACAGCTATTTCTATATTTATAAGGACACAGACTCCCAGTTGAGAGGCAGCTATGTGAGACAGAGTAGAACCATTTGGAGGATTTGTGGGCTTACTGTCTTTTATGTGTAATAATTCAGGAAGTGAGAAGAAGGTGGTTTTTTGAGATAAATGGTCCTGACAAGAAATCCAGCCACAGGTACTTGTGATGGAAGCAAAGAGAATAGAAAATGCGATGATTCCTGGCTGGACAAATAGACCTTTTAGATGAGTATGAAAGACTAGAAGGTTGGATTGTGGTGCAAATGAACCTACTATATATATGCTGAGAATCCAAAGTCACAAACCAGGAGAGGGAGGTGATGTAAATCAGTAACGTGGACCTGGTGTGTAAGGGCGTGTGACCAGCACGCCCATCTGAGAGGACAGCGGCCCCTTTGCGCTGGCCACTTGTTTCTTTGTGATAACCTTGTGGGCTGTGATAACCTATTGCTTGTTTTCAGATTTTTCCGGAGGAGCCATACGTTTGGAATTTTATGTGAAATATCCTGATTTTAAACATAAGCCCAAACATTGGATTGGTTTGATCTGATTTTGTGTAGAGTTTGGACATGTGTGTGGGAAATGTGAGTTTTGGGGATGGGGGGGTCGGAGAAAACAGTCTTTGTTGGGAAACAATGAAATACAAAGTCGGATAGGTAGGCGGTGTCTTTGAAAGTCAGAAGGAGGGTTTGAGCTTGGTGTGGTGACTGTCACCATCAGTCCCCTTCCTGAGCTTCATGTGCAACACGCTGTGCTG